AATCATCCGCTTCCTCAGGGGAGCCAGAAGGATGAACCCCCCTCGCCCCCCTACGGTGCCAGTCTGGGATCTTTCTATAGTTCTAGAAGCTTTGATAGCCCCACCGTTTGAACCACTCGATTCCGTGGATCTAAAATACCTCTCGCTAAAAAACGTTTTTCTGACTGCCCTCGCCTCAGTAAAACGCGTGGGGGACATTCACGCGCTGTCTTCAAGCGCCGCGTGTCTTGAGTTTGGACCTAATGACTCATTGTCATTCTTAAACCTAGACACGGTTATGTTCCAAAAGCGATTGGTACCCCCTTCAGGGCACAAGTGATTTCTCTATCGGCTCTGCCTGCATGCGATAGCGAACGTGACACTGATCGCCTCTGCCCGGTCCGGGCTCTGAGAGTGTACACTACACGCGCTGCTGCGCTCAGACGCTCGGAGAAGCTGTTTGTGTCGTTCGGCGGCCGCACCAAGGGTCTAGCCGCCTCTAAACAGACACTGTCTAGGTGGATAGTGGATGCTATTGCCACTGCTTACGCCTCAAAAGACCTGCCTTGCCCGCTGGGCGTCAGGGCTCATTCCACCAGAGGCATGGCCTCATCGTGGGCATGGTCCTGTGGAATTTCCATTCACGATATTTGTGTGGCTGCGGGATGGGCCTCCCCCTCCACCTTTGTCAGGTTCTATAACTTGGAAGTCCCCGCTTTACAAGCTAAATTACTGGCGGTCTAGTACTATACAGCTCTCCTATAAGAAGCTGCACTATTGGGAGTCCTATCACAACCGGTTCGCCCCTTGTGCTTCCCCCTATGTGCTTATGCATTATACGTTTACAGCCCGCTATGCCGGCCGCCTTATGGGTGTATGCATTAGATGATAACGGCCGCTATGCTGGCCGCCTTATTGTCTTCTTCCATTTTAAGATTCCCCCGGTGTTTCCCCCTGGGATGCTTAGTGGTTACATAGCGCGCACGGCGTTGACCAGATGTTCCCGTAGCGTAAGCTAGCTTACGCAATACGAGAGAACCTCTCGTAAGAGAACGAATCGGTTACCTAACGTAACCTCGGTTCTCTCTAGATGAGGGAACGAGTATTGCGTTCCCGGCCGTGCGCCACCAGCGTTTCGCTTCATGCTGAAAGAAATCAACGACTGAGCCTGGGAGAGCCTGTTTTATACACTATAGCCACGCCCCTTTCGGCGGGCTCTGACGCAATGAGCGAGCGCCGTCCGCTCATTGGCCGCGGGTTCATTTTCTCTGAGCGAACCAACGAGCTGCTAGCTAGCCCCGCTCATGTTCTGCCTCAGAGATACTGCATTGACAATGATTACAAAATTATGGAATAATTTTTTGGCTTCAACTTCTCAGCAAAGATGAATCTTTCCCGTAGCGTAAGCTAGCTTACGCAATACTCGTTCCCTCATCTAGAGAGAACCGAGGTTACGTTATGTAACCGATTCGTTTCTGTAGTTCTAATGAGACATAAGAAAACTACAAATTTGACTTGCTTTACGTTTCATGAAATCATGTAACATGTACATGAATGTACATTGTCTGTGGACATCGTTCATTCCAAAGCTGGTGCTGGATAAACAAGCGTGCATGCAACAGTAGGCAGCGGTATAGCTAAATTATTTACGACAGCAGTAATGGACAACTGGCGACCGGCGGCGCTGCTGACGTGGTTTCTGTGTATATTAAACAGCAAAACGACTATTTAAATATGAACCCTGCATGTTGCACTTGTCTCTGTGAATGAACGGCGCAGACGCGCGCTTTCATTTAACGTACCTCACACACACACACACACACGCACACACACACAAGCAAGAGTGACGCTCGCGCTGTTTTCAGTCTCTGCTGCCTCACGATATAATGACATGATTCATGATCCATTCATCTTCGAGAGTCACTTCATGAGCATTTTACTGTTTAAATATGAAACCGCATGTTCTGCTTGTCTGTGTGAATTAACGGCGCAGACGCGCGGTTTCATTTAACGCTAACTTACCTCTCACACACACACACACACACACACACACACACACACACACACACTGAAACAAGAGAGTGACGCTCAAGCTGTTTTCAGTCTCTGCTGCCACACGATATGATGACATGATTCATGATTCCATCTCCGAGCTGTCACTTCATGAGCATTTTACCGTTTCATTTGAGAAAACTATAGGGTCATATCATATATCATACACGCACAGTAAGTCAAAGGTCTTTACGGCAACCCGTCAAAATAAAAACTTGGTTTAACTTAAAGAAATTGACAGAAATAATTATATTAGGCTACTGTACAATATATTTAACTACGTCTCCATTTATTAAAAATACTACTGTAGCCTAAATCCACTGAATGCTGTATTTTTCACTTGTTTTATATTATAAGCAATATTTCTCAGTATCATCAATATTTTCGTTTAAAACAGCATGTAGCCTTCAATGCTTTCATAAATGTACCATCATAAATAATAAAGTGATTGAATTTTCTTTTCAAGTAGTTAAATAAAATAAAATAAAAAAATAATTTTGCTGTGGTACCGAAATTGGTACCGAGAACCGTGGAATAATGGTATCAGTACCGACTACTGGAATTTTGGTACCGTGACATCCCTACTCTACTGTGTATTCATTGAAGTAGCTCCTTTGTTGGCAACCAGAGGAACTAGATAGAGGCATATCCATAGACTGTAAAAAAAGATGGACGCCCCTTCGCTCTTTTCCATCAGAGTGAACTGAAGCCGCCAGTGTCTCGATATGACGCTGACATCTTGGACTTGAGTCTGCGCACTTGCGTGTTTCGGGACCAGTCATGTGCAGTCATGAGCAGGAAGTAAAGCCGCGAAATCAAGGCCGCGCCTTCATTCTCGCTGAATCAAACGCAAGCACACGCCCCGCACTTTCACTAAGTGTCCTCTGTCTGCTTCGTTCTTCTCCAATGATGTCTGCTGATTTCAGAACCTCGTTAAAATAAGGTAAATACAACTATTAACCACATAATCAACATTGTTAAAAAAAGTCCGCTGGTGCTTCAGTGACTACCTCGCACAGAGAACCTGTCAATCACAGCTGTCAATCATGATGTCAGAGCGCCGTTATTTTATCATCACATAACTAACTAAAAACAAACTTATTTTAAAAACGAACACTTGAAATTACATCAACGTGATAGAAACTACAGTAAATGACAGAAACTATCTTTGGAAAAAGGATATGTGAAGTGTAATTTAATTGTTTAGTTGGTCTCGCGTCTCATTGAATAACATGGGGAGGCGGGGGTTATGAGCTACATATATATATAGTATACTAGGTCCGGTCACAGGGGGGGCAATCGAGACGTTTTGGCTTCACTTTTGAGGGCTTGTGTGGCACGCTTGGGCATATCGGAGGGGACTCCACCTCGCCTGAGGTAATTGAGTCTCAAACGCAACATTGCGATGGTCATCTTCCAGCAGTGGGTACATGACTCAAAATCCACAAAATCCACCTCAGTGTGCTTTAAGCCCAGACACATAAGGCAGCAATCGTGACTGTCAGTCCTTCGTTACATACCGGCTTCACTGGGTGTGTAATGTTTACACTAGAAGGTAACTGCTCTCAGGCGAGTTCTGAATTCTTCAGTTCAGTTCTGGCGTAACGTCGGACGTGACTAAATGATAGGGAACTGATTATATGGAAATATATCCATCACGATAATTTCCCCATGACAACTAGATCTAGTCCCCTCCCCTCTAAGTGAAAATAACTAGATTTTTTTTTTCAGATATGAAATGTTTATCAGATTACTTTTAAACCTACTTCCTACTTTAAACAGCTATATGACAACGTCTATATAGCTAACAGATGCTCAGAGGTTGCAAAGGTTTTACAGTTTTATTATACTGGCTTCAAAGCAGGTTACTGTGACGTTGTGCGGAGAAATAGAGCTGAGGCTGGATCCAAACGCAGTGTAGCTTTAATCACAAACTTGAAACAGGAAACAAGACAAGAAGCAAGACTCGAGAATACAAAACCACCAACGTTCACATACATAAATTCAACAACCAACAAAGACAGGGCAGAAACACAGGGCTTAAATAATCAAGGACAAACAAGCTAGACAAGATAACAAGGGGGCGTGAGAAATACGAAACACCTGGGACAAATAATCGACGGGGAATCACTAATAACGAAAACACACAAAACCACATCATGACAGTTACATTTTAAATACATTTTAGTGGCTTTCATTATTGCTTCTAAATAAAGAAATTAAAGAAATGCAATTATGGAAAAACAAATTTGAGAAGAAAATGAAGGCAATACATGTTAAAGACGTAAACTGTTTTAGGGAATCTATTCCTCATTATAATGAAAGGAGAAGTGAAACTAACAAAATCAAATAAATGCGCAACATTTTCTCGTTCCTGTTAGAACCACTATTCTTGTCATCATAAATGTTTCCAATTAAAGGTATACTAGGCTACCATAAAATAATTGAAGTTAGTTAAGTATCATTGAAAACAATACTGCATGTTAAAATGAGACTACCTTGTCTCTCGAAAAGAAACTCAGTAAACCAAAGTTACTTTCACAATTGAATGAAGCAGAAACCACAAACAGGAAGTTTAGTTCATTGAGAAATCTCCTTTCATTTTGAGCTTACCACTGCATTTCCAGCACTCCATCAGCCAAAAATCATGTTTCCCTTCATACTTAAGAATGTTATATGGAGTAATTTAAGACTTCTTTGGTGACTTTGTCCTGGTAGTCCCTTCCAGCCTTTGTACACTTTGTGTCTTTGTATTTAAAAGCTTATAATACAGGTACTTCTATAGCAGAGTGCAACTTTTCTTACAAACCCTCCAAAATACTTTTAGATCGAATCAAAACAGATATAATAATCGTAATTTTGAAAGAAAAACAGTAGTAAACGTATTATGATTATGGCACTAAGACTGTAAAATTAAAAAAAACAATTAAAAAATACATTATAAATATAAATACATAACTTATACTTACTTTTAAGTTACTTTATCTTGTCAAAACTGGCAAAACCCCTATTCAGTCTGACAGAATTTGAAAACACCTAGTCTCAGCCAGGGGCGAGTCCAGACATGTTCAAGGGGCTGGGCCTTCATAAAACAGGGCGGGCAAAGGGTAGAGTATGAAACCTGCACAGCAAATTAGCAGGAAAATGTATTACAGCACTGTTTAAAGTTTAAAGTTTCAAAACAGGAAACAACAACAAACCACATATACTGGTATAAACTAGACTGTAAAAAATGTCCACTTCTTTCAACTTAAGTTCTGTTGCTTTTTTAAATTACGTAATTGTTTGGCTGTACAAATCATTTCAACTTAAATTACATTAAAACTAATTTTAAGTTGAATCTCATGTAAAAACATGTTGCCTGACTTTTTTTTTACAGTGGATAAAAAAAAAAAAAATGAAATGGCTCTTCCTTTTTCTGTCAAGTCTGTCAGTAAATATTAGACCTAGTATATGAATTAATGTTAAGAATTTTTTTAACATTAAACATTGAGAAAGTATTTGTACTTGCCTCAACATGTCTGTTACGAGTGTGGTGCAGGGTGGAGAGGCATAGTCAAAAGGCTCCAGTTCAAACATTTACTAATAAATCAAATCCATACAAGGTACAGAGATGATGGGCAGAAAGGTAATCCCACACTCAAAACCAGGTAACATTAACATTAACTACACACACCTTACATAAACAAGAACTGACCAGGACTGAGGGAGAACATGCAATAAATGCATGGCTGAACAAAGTAACATAATCAGTCAATAGAACATTGGTGAATCAACTGATGAAGACAAGACACATGTGCTGAACACAAATGGGAAAACTGAAACAGGAGTGAACCAAAAACACTAAGCAGGGGAAACACAAGACATTGTGTAACAATGTCCTTTTGCAATATTGGTCTGAAACAATGAAACTTCTGGTAAAAAAAAAGTAAACTCATCATAAAAGGTTTCACTATCAGTTTGTGTTAAAGGAATCGCCCGGATGCATGCTAGCATTGCTACATTAATTTTTTATTGATTTTTTTATTTATTTTAAAAATTAAAAAAGAGGATAAACTCATCATAAAAGGTTTCACTATCAGTTTGTGTTAAAGGAATCGCCCGGATGCATGCTAGCATTGCTACATTAATTTTTTATTGAAAACTCAAACATATTATTTATGTAGCAATTTAACATTTTTTAAATGGTCTACAGAGCCGTCAACACAGGTCCAGGAGTGTGGGTGGCTTGCCTTCAGTTGCGGATGCTGCCTTTTAGATTTAGAAAATGATTCTAAATTTATTTTAGAGCTCCTAGAATTCAACCAACTTTTTTTTCCTCATTCATTTGAAATAAATTACAGTAGGGCCTACATTATTAATAAATGGTGTATGTATACTGTATACTACAGTACATACACACTTATTTTATTATTGAATTTTTGGTTAAATGATGCATTAAGCTAAGCATCATGTTTGTGATTTTATTTTATTTGTCATGTATGACATATTCAAAACTGCTTTATTAATTAAGAAACGGAAGTAACTGTAAAGGTTATTTTTTTACATTTCATATTTTTAGTACAGCTATAGGGCCGTATGCATGGTTTCATAATTAGGTCACAAAATAGAGTATGCTAGGGTGTTCGGGCCCCTGAGAAAGTTTTGATTCTAACACTGGTCTACATATGTGCTTTTAATACGTTTAAAGGCCAAAAAAAAAAAAAAAAAGGATAACAATAGCTTTAAAACCACAGCTTCAAGCACAGCATAAGAGATACTGAAACATGAGAATCAGGTTAAATGTTGCAATGAATGATCCACAATATAATCTGGAAATACAGAAGAGACTGTGTTTTGCTAGTGGTGAAATATCATGAAATATACTGACCAATTTGTAACGCTTCACAATATCCAAATCGTCCAATTAGTTAATGTTTGTTAAATTAACATTAACAATGAGCAATGCATTTTTACAGTAGTTATTATTCTTTGTTAACATTAATTCATAAAAATGCAGCTGTTCATGTCGGCGCATGCAGGTCCATTAAATGGCCTTTTATTAACATATAGAACTTTTGATTTTAATAATGCATTACTAAATGTTATAATTAACGTCAACTAAGATTGAAAAATGCTTTAGAAGTATTGTTGTACTTAAAAAGTGTACGAACGACGGGCCCTGTCCCAGAGGCAGGATTTGTTTTGAAGAGAAATTGCCAAATTAATTAAGTACTTACATACAATTATTATAATATATATTAAGACACTTGATCCTCACCTGACTATGACTTTGTAAACTTTATCCATGATGTGGTTTATAATGGACATTGGTACAGAAACAGTGATACACACTCTTGGCTTACTATGACTATTCTCTGCTGTCAGACGACGAGATGTTTGTCCCGTTTTAGCCACTGTAGCTTTTTCGAAACGGAGGGGAGAGCAGTGGGCTGAGACCGCTAGATGTCACTAAAAATCACACACTGCATCTTTAAAGGAATTTAAACAATATACCATTTTGTGGCTTTTTAAGATTATGATTGGTCAGATCGCCTGTCAATCAAACTCCCTGCAAAGGGTCAATTCATCCACTGTTTTTTTTGTGTGCCTATTTTGCGCAACGCAAAATGCCACTAAAACTTAACCTACTTAGGGTACTTCTCATTTCTTGGTTGTGCTTCTTCGTTTCCATCTCTCGCTTCCTTTTCTCGTGTCTTATGCCGAATTCACACTGAGCGATTTTAAGCACGATTTTCTCTCACTGCAGGTTTTGGGAGATCGCAGGCAAATGCCCGAAATCAAAGGCAATTCGGTGCTCATTCATGTGAGACACAATCACACAATGTGAATGTTCAAAGACATTTGCCGATGCTCATGAGATATCTGGTATGCTACATATCTGGACCTGTCGGTGATTCAAAATCCTGCTGTATGAAAGTGTTCTGACTGACTCTCTTTGGGGAGAAGTCAGCGATCTATCTTGCAGTGTGCACACAGCAGCAACTGAATGCTGGCCTAGATAGTCTTGCAGTGTGAATAGAACAGTGATCCCACTTTGAAAATCATGCCGTGTGAACTCGGCATTAGCTCCAACCCCCTTAGGATGCGAGGGAAGGATACACCTGTGTATCCTCGCTCATGACTTCTCAGGAAGCTTCCTTGTTCCTTGCCTATTAGAGAATTGAGATGTCCTTCAAGATTGCCGAGTTCGATCAGTTTCCTGGTCACAGGCTTAGGAGCGAGGAAACAAAGCATCAATTTGAGTATTGAGTAGCAACCCTTACCTCAAGCTCCCTTTGCCAAGTTGGCCTCTTTTCCCTAGACCAGTGGTTCTCAACTCCAGTCCTCGGGACCCACCGCTCTGCATATAGACCTTTCTCACAAAAAACGGAAATCTGTAATTGTTGTGGAAGAGGAGTTCCTGTCAACCGTCAACACATCAGTAAAACATACCCGGGGTAGAAAAAATTGATCAGAGAGTCTTCACAACTTCGAAAAAATGTAAACTTTTCATGGTCCAGTTGTTGATGACTTTGTAAAATGGTGTGGTGATGCTTGTCTGCAGCTGAATGTATCTAAGACCAAAGATATGACTATTGATTTCAGAACTGACGCTCGTTCTTCCCAATATACGTTCATTAAAGGTGAGAAGGTGGAGTGTGTGGAAAGTTATAAATATTTAGGGACTATTATTTACAATAAACTGCGTTTTGATGTGAATACCAAAAAGAAGTCTGTCAGTTTTATTCAACAGTTATGTTCTTAAGTAGTGACCTTTTTTTGCACTGCTCTTGCTATGAAACTCTCAAAGATGACAAACAATATACTAATATTAATTTATCCCTTGTACACTCAGATTGTTAAATACTCAGAATGGTAAATATATTTTTTAAATTTATATGTAGCCTACTGTTGTGTGTTCTTAGTTATCTTATTTTATATTATGGTGTATATTTTTATGTGTTTATTACTCTACAAATTGCCCAGGGTTTCTTCATAATACACAATTCATAATTGTCACGGGGTGGTGCAGGAGTGCAGGCAGAAGGAACAGGAGGAGTCCGAATTCACACGAAGATACTTATTTAATTCAAAATTACAGGCAGGAAGACAGGATAACACCGAGTAACAATCAACATCGACTGACAAAGACAGACTGAATGAGATGGAACTAAATACAGACAGGAATCAAACATAACGATGTGAAGACAGGTGAAACTGATGAATAAGACGAGGAACAGGTGGCTGATGAGGGAGTGAGTTCAGGAGTGGAGACAAGAGGATCCTGGGAAGTGTAGTGCAGATGACGAAGACAGACTGGTGCAGACGGAGGACTGACATCACTCCCCCCTCCCGGTAGGCGTGACCTCACACCGTAACATCAACGGGGAGGGGGGGTGGGTGCCCTGGAGGCTGTGGAGGGCGTGGTCTGGAGTAGGAGGCCCTCCAGGGCGGAGTAGGATGAGGGCGTGGCCAGGGCGGAGCAGGATGAGGGCGTGGCCAGGCCGGAGCAGGCTGAGGGCGTGGCCAGGGCGGAGCAGGCTGAGGGCGAGACCAAAGTCAAAGTCAAAGTTTATTTATAAAGCACTTTTAAAAACAACAAGTGTTTGACAAAGTGCTGTACACTTGTATCCTATTTCACAACTACAAACCGTCAACGACACAAAATAAAAATAAAAAGCCAGAAACAAATAATCGACAATACAAACACTCACCTAGCTTCAAAAGCCAAACAGTAGTAATAGGTTTTAAGACTAGATTTAAAAGCAGCAAGAGTTTGAGCCTGTCTGATGTACAGGGGCAGATTGTTCCAGAGCTTTGGTCCTGTTACTGCAAATGCTCTTTCGCCTCTGCTTTTCAACTTCACCCGAGGGACAACTAAGAGCAAATGGTCAGCAGACCTAAGCGCTCTTGATGGAGCATACAGCGTAATCAGGTCTGACAGATACTTCGGTGCAAGACCATTAAGAGATTTGAAAACAAACATCAAAATTTTAAAATTAATCCTAAAATGGACAGGCAACCAATGAAGAGAGGAGAGAACAGGGGTAATGTGTTCACGCTTCCGTGTACCCGTCAACAGGCGAGCTGCTGCATTCTGGACCCTCTGCAGTCTGGAGAGAGAGGCCTGGCTAATGCCAACATAGAGGCCATTACAATAGTCCAGACGCGATGAAATAAAAATATGAAGGAGTCTTTGGAAGTCTATATAAGACAGGAAAGATTTGACCTTGGTGAGTTGTCTCAACTGGAAAAAACTTGACTTAACTACTTGGTTAATCTGTTTATCCATCTTAAAATCCCAGTCCAAAATAACACCTAAGTTCTTGTCAAGTTTCCCACTTTTTTATTCAGCTCTGCCCAAACTTGATATGGCGTTCAAACATTGAAGGACGCAAGAGAAAGCAACTCATTGACTTGACTGTTTATTTTCTGGAATTGCAGAGGTATTTGCAGAAGCAGTAGTCAGCAATAGGTCAGAAATAGATCAGCAATAGATCTGCAACAGATCTGCAATAGGTCTGCAATAGGTTGATAATCTTTAAAGATAAAAATAAACAAAAGAAACACACATTAATATAAAAAAGATGTTATTTAAAGTAACATTTTAACATCACCATATTACCTACAATGTAAATCAACTAAATCAAAATGCTTTGACAAGAAAAAATAAATGTTAACAAACTTAAACACCTTTCCCTCAAATCACACCAAATCATACAAAATCTTAGCATCAATCAGTAATGTAGCAAGCAAACTAGCAAAATCCATCAAATATGCTAAAACACAATACTGATCTCTTACAACTTATAGATTACATCAAAAATAAATAAATAAATTCATGTTCATACCAGTTGCGTCTTCAAGTTTGAATTAGTTTTAACTGAATGTGGGTGAAATTCGTTGCAAGTCCAGCAAGAGATCTTCTCCAAACTTTTCACCTGCATGTGCTCTTGTGGTGCACCACTTTATTGTGCCCCCTTGGAAACAAACCCTCTCAATGGTTCCTGCCCAGTCACCACACTGCACTGTCCTCTACAGGAATTTTTGAGTATGACAGAATTTAAAGAAAAACCTCATTGTTTTGCCGAAACACCTCCCACTTGACCTCCTGGTTAATGAACCTAAGGAGGTCACTCCAATCACCTTCAACACTTTCACTTTTGTTCTTGATTTTGTTCTTCTAAAGGAAGCAAAACAATCAGTCGTCTTACATCCCTATGAAGGATTGTAGAAGGGATTTTGGTTGACAGTTTCTTCACTTTATCTCTTTGGAAAGGCTTCACAGTTGGGACTGGATAGCTGGGAAAAGTTCTGACATGTACATCTCTGACGATGCCCTTCTTGTCAATACTGACACTGATGACTCTAGCAAGTTTGTACTGGCCCCTCCAGGCATTTTGGTCAGCAAGCCAGACAACATCTCCAACAGTCACGTTCCTATGGGTTGTGTGCCATTTACTTCTCACAAATAGATTGGGCCCAGCTAACTGACTCCACTTCCAGAACCGGTCAACTTCTGTTTGGATAGCTCTCAGCCTCTTGTATGGGTAGTTTTCAAAGTCAAAGCATCCAAAATCTCCTCTGGGTCCAGTTCGTCCAAGTAAAAGGGAATTTGGGCTGACATATTCTATGCAGTCTTCCCGGCTTTGAGTTCTGGCATCTACAGGCCTTTCATTGGCCAGGTTAGCAGCCATATATATAAATGTCTGAAACTCACTCCATGTAAAGAGTCCTTCTCCTCCCAGGTTGTACAAAGCCCGCTTCACTGTGTGAACAGCTGCTTCTGCAGCTCCATTTCTGTGAGGGGAGTCTGCTGGGTGGATTTTCCAGCTCCATTCTGTTCCATGCAAGGAAGCTTCATTCTCAAGCTCAGACTTATTTAGTTGATCCAGGAAGAGATAGAGTTCTTTCAGTGCAGGTCTGGCACCCACAAAATTCTTTCCAGGATCTGACCACAGTTTCTTTGGGTGCCCTCTCAGTGCTGTGAATCTCTGGTAAGCCATTAGGAAGCCTTCAGTTGACTGGTCACTGACAACATCTGTGTGTATAGCTCTGGATGACATGCAACAGAAGACAATTCCCCACACCTTGAGCTTTGTTTTCTTCTTCACCTCGTCCTTGACTTCATACGGTCCAAACAAGTCCACCGTTGTATACTCAAATGGTCTGGCTGGTGTTATCCGCTCAGATGGAAGGTCACTCATGATCTGTTGGCACTTTCTGGCCCTAGCCTTTCTACACACAATACAGCTATCAAGACTCTTTTTAGCCAGCTTTCGACCTTTCACTATCCAGGCTTTTTTCCTCATCCGGAGAAGTGTGCCGGCTATTTCTTCATGATTTTCACTATGAGCCTCTTGAGCTAGGAGAGTGGATATCCACGCATCATAGGGTAGAATGGGTACAGCAGTTTTGTCCTCATCAAAAGTCTGGAACCTTCCTCCACAAACTAAAAGCCCAGTCTCTTTCTCTTTATAAACAGCGAGTCTGTTGAGAGTGGTGTCTTGAAAGGTTATACCTTCTTGAGCTGCAAGGAACAGGTCTCTTAGTGCATCTCTACACTCCCCGACAGTGAGTACAGCTTGTTTGGCTCTGGACCTCCAATTTGTTGAAAAAGCTCCCTCCCACTTTGGTTTATCTGAGGCTGAATTCTTGTTCAACAACTCTTTCCATCTTCGTGCAGCTCTCCAAACCCAGGCAATGACCCGGATCAGCCTGGTCAGATTGCTGAATTTCTTGATGTCAATCAGATTAGTTACTGCAGAGCCGCTTGGTAATCTTCGGATCTGAATCTTAGATTCATCTGGGTTAGCTTGCTGTACATCCCTCTTGTCTTTCTTGGCCTGCATTCTAGTCAGTGCTGCTGAGAAAGCTTTCCTCTGAAGTTTATTTATGCCTTCTTTGGCATATGTGGCGACTTCTTTGGCTGACTTATGTGGCCATTCTCCCACAGGTTGTCGTAGAAACGCTGGTCCATCCTGCCACATGGAACCTTCCTGGAGGTCTTCTGGGGCTGCCCCTCTTGTTATAGCATCAGTACTGTTCAGGTATCCTGGAATCCACCACCAGTCTCCGACTGATGTGGATTTTTGGATCTCCCCAACTCTATTTGCGAAAAAAGTTTGATATCCATAGCTGTCTCTCTGGATTGCTCCCAGCACAGTTTGACTATCCAGCAGATGGAGCCATCGTTCAACTTCTATTCGACTGTGCTTCTCAACATAATTTCTCAGTCGTGCTGCATAGACAGCGCCACAGATTTCAGCTTTTACTGGTTCTCCCTTTTGGTCCAATGGTGTGAGTTTTGCCTTAGACTCCACCAATCTGACTTGGATGCCTTGCTCAGTCTCCCATCTGAAATACACTATGGCTCCATAGCTCTTGTCACTTCCATCAGAGAATGTTATTCCCCAAGGTTTTCCAATCTAGTTGACTGGTGTGAGACTTCTGTGGAAAGTGATTTGTCCAAGACGTGTGTATTCCTCAAAGAATTGGATGGCTTCTTCCCTCAATTTTTCCGACAAAGGTTTGTCCCAAGTGTCGCGGGTCAAAGTTTTGCCTCCAGCTTCCTGAAATGCCTTTCTGACAAGAATGGCACCCCTCTGTTTGACAGGTGTGACAAGGCCTATTGGGTCATACAAGCTAGCTACTTGGCTCAGCAGTTCTCTTCTTGTGAGTGGGTTTGGAGTTTTCTCTCTCACCTCTTTATCAAGGAGATTTTGTCCAACTCTCATTCTATTTTTCCTCTTTGAAAAATTGATTGAAGTCATGAGATACAGTTTATCCTCTTCAACAAGGTATCCGACTCCAAGAGCTTTATTATCTCCTTCCCTCATCTGGTTTGGAAGAATAAGTACTGTGCTTGACTCCGCTCTTTGTTCTCCTGGTACAATCTCCTGCCTCCCACTTTGACTTGACCAGACCCAGGGCTTGAGGAAGAACCCACCTGCCTTCAGGATCTCCTCAACTCCTTCGATGTTCTGGCCCAGCTTTTTCAAGTCATTATGGGAAGTTAGGATGTCATCGACATAGGCATCCTCTTCAAGAATCCCACGTTCCTCTTCCAGGTGAGCGAACATGGGTAATTTGGCAGTCTCTCTCATGGCCATTTGTGCTATGCACCCTGCTGGTCGATCGCCAATGTTGACTCTGGTAATCACATACTCTTCAATCTCTTCCTCTTCAGTGTCTCTCCAGAGAAATCTGTGGAGGTGCATCTCCAGATCTTTCAACCACACAGAATTGTACATTTTCCTGATGTCACCAAGGGCAGCATGGACGCCTCTTCTGAACCTGAGTAGTACTGCTCGGATGGGATTGAGGACATCAGGCCCTTTCAGCAGAAGGTCATTCATGCTGATCCCTTTAAACTTCTGGCTGCTGTTCCATACCAGCCGCACAGGTGTTGTGAGAGAATGCGGATTTGGTGCCACCAAGTGGCTGACATACCATACTGGCCCTTTCCAGCTGGCAATGATCTCTTTAGTGAGTTTCTTCGCTGCCCTTCTCTCCACCATCTCATGGACTTGTGCGGTGTATGCTATTTTCCACTCTGGCTCTTTTTTGAGTTGTTTCTCTGTTCTCATGAAGGTGGCTTCCACTCCACTCCTGTTGTTGGGAAGGGAACTTGGATCTTGAATCCACAGGTATCTTGTGTCCCAATGTGGCTTCTCACTGTGAGAATCTGCTTTGACGTAGGTGAGGCCCTTCTTTATGACTTCTAATTCTCTTTCTTTATTTAGAGTCATCTCCTTACCTCCTGGCTGGCAATTGCCACACCGGCATCCTCCACACTTGGGCTCGCAGGCTGCTCCAATGCTGTCCCATTTCCACCAGTTTAGAAACTCTTTACTAGCTACTCTGGTTTCAGCTTTGAACTCTTGTGCTTCTGTGATCTCTTGATACCTCACTGCCGATGCCCTCATGGACCGAGCAAAATGCGTTTCTGAATTGTGCATCGCTATATCCATCTCTTCAAAAAGATCTGGATGCGCTCCACCAACAGTCTTTCCCAGTGGGCTTTCCCATAAGACAAGGTCTCCAATCACCTTCACTCTTTGTGGAGCAAGTCTTCCCTCGCGGTGGCTTACCAGTAGCTCAATACTCTCCGGTCTCCTCAGATCTTCTAAATTGACTTCTGGGAAGAACCTCTTGAGTTGCTCAGGCTTGATGACTTTGTGGATGTTGGCAATTTCATTCAACCCATAGCAGATAAGCTCATGAGCTCTCTCCGTGCCCATAGGCATCTTGATCCTCACTTTAAGAAAGTATCTTCTAGTTTTAACATTCATGTTCATTCCTCCAACTCCATGAATAATTAAAGAAATGTTTTCACTTCGAAGATTTAATCTCCTGGCGGCTTTGTGGGTGATGTAGTTTGTATCTGATGCTAAGTCGATCAGAGTCCCAATCTTTTCTCCTGCATTAGCAGTTACCTCGAGCAGCATTAGTATAACTGGCAATTCTTTTATAGCACTTGAATCAGTCACTCCAAGCTGACTCTTCTCACCACAGTTTGTCTTCCCAGTGATGTTAGTGAATGCTTTCTTGAATTTCTCTGCCATCTCTGGGGAGAGCTTAGACACAAATTCCTCTTGCTCCTCCGTAAGCTTATGCCTTCTCACATGGGATTGTCTTCTGTCTGAGTCAGTTCTCTTGAAATCTCCCTTCAGACAAAGAAAGAAGTGATGATCTCTTTTACAGTCTCTGTTCCTGCACAGGTAAGTATCTTTGCATTCATCATCTTCACCATGACAGATTAAACACCTTTTCTACAGCAGCCAACTTTTCCACAGGCTTCAGTTCTTTGAAACGCTTGCAAAAGAAGATCTTTTCTCCATGCTTTTCATCTCCACAGACAACACATCCGCCTTTCCTTGTGGAACGTGTGGACGCATATCTTCTCTCCATACAAGCATATTTCTTTTCTGGCTTTTCACTAACTCCCAACTGCTCTAACTTCTCTAGAATTTCTTCTTGTGTTTTCAGAAATTTAAGAAGATTCTCAAAGTGATTGTCCGGTGTTACGCCATTTGCTGGGTTAACCATGAAGACAAGCCAATCTCTTTTCATGTTGTCAGGTAACTTACTTTCTATTGATTTGATCACCAGAGGGTTGTTAATGGCTCCCGTGTTTCCAAGTTCTGTGAGGTCATCCAGGGCCTTCTCTATATTTTGAATTAAATCAATGACTTTTCTTGGCTGATTTGCTCTTAAAACAGGAATCTTCTCAAGATCTTCAATAATTTCCAAAGCAATTGTGGACTTGTTTCCATATCTATTCTCAAGCACTCGGAATATGTCTTCAGCAGTGTTGTAGGTAGACAAACGGAGCTCTCTGCACATCCTGTCGTCTATGCTGTCAAAGAGTTGTATCTTTTTAACTTCAGCTGAGCCAGTTGGTTCTCCCTGCTTTTGTAGACTTTCCCAGTCTTTCCTCCATCGATGGAAATTCCTTTTACATCCATTGAATTTGGGTAGACTGGTTGGCTTTATTCTCAACGTTGGTTGTGGTTGTGGAACTGGCATGGGTATCTGGGGAACCCTCGCTCTGTCTCTTTCTTCTTCTGCTATTCTTTGTGCGATGATGAACTCCACCTTTCGTGCTTCAAGGTTGCTACTGCATCCTTTCAGATTCTTTACTCTAGTTTCCAGACTGGATTTTTCGTCTTCTGGAATCCACATCTCCCAAGCTGCTAGGGTAGTGATTACACCTTGGATCATTCTTTTTGCGCCATCCAGCTGGAACTCAAAACCATCTCTGTTTACAGCGACAACGGGTGTTGCAGCAGCTCTATCACAGGCTGTCTCTGCTTCCTGGATTGCTGTTCCCATCTCATCTTTACCATATCTTGACCATAAGTTGAACAGGACAATTTGTTTGACCTCTTCCAATCTTACCTCACATTCATGGATTGTCTTCTCGAAATCAGCCTGCTGCTGCTTATCAAGTTCAGCTTCTTCACCATCTGACATGTCCGCTTCAATGTCTGCCAGTAAACCAGCTCTATACTCATCATTTGTCTCGCCGACACTCCTTGCCTCAGAAATGAGTTTTTTGAACTCCTCTTGTAGTTCACTTTTCATCAAGTTTTTGGCTCCTCTGCTGAGGAAGTTTGCCTGCCTGGTGAATGCACTCTTAGCCAAGGTCCTCTCTTGCTTTAGCTGCTTCACTGCTTTTCCAAAAGCTTCCTCTGCCATTGCGAGACGATTTCAGATGATTCTCTTTCACTGCGTCGACACTTTGAGACGTTTAGGCCTTTGATCCTTCTATCTTCATTGCCACGCTGATTATCAACTGTCAAGTTTCCCACTTTTTTATTCAGCTCTGCCCAAACTTGATATGGCGTTCAAACATTGAAGGACGCAAGAGAAAGCAACTCATTGACTTGACTGTTTATTTTCTGGAATTGCAGAGGTATTTGCAGAAGCAGTAGTCAGCAATAGGTCAGAAATAGATCAGCAATAGATCTGCAACAGATCTGCAATAGGTCTGCAATAGGTTGATAATCTTTAAAGATAAAAATAAACAAAAGAAAGACACATTAATATAAAAAAGATGTTATTTAAAGTAACATTTTAACATCACCATATTACCTACAATGTAAATCAACTAAATCAAAATGCTTTGACAAGAAAAAATAAATGTTAACAAACTTAAACACCTTTCCCTCAAATCACACCAAATCATACAAAATCTTAGCATCAATCAGTAATGTAGCAAGCAAACTAGCAAAATCCATCAAATATGCTAAAACACAATACTGATCTCTTACAACTTATAGATTACATCAAAAATAAATAAATAAATTCATGTTCATACCAGTTGCGTCTTCAAGTTTGAATTAGTTTTAACTAAATGTGGGTGAAATTCGTTGCAAGTCCAGCAAGAGATCTTCTCCAAACTTTTCACCTGCATGTGCTCTTGTGGTGCACCACTTTATTGTGCCCCCTTGGAAACAAACCCTCTCAATGGTTCCTGCCCAGTCACCACAC